ATATATATATATATATATATATATATATATATATATATATATGAATGCAAAGAGAGCATGTATTCTGTTTTCTGTATTAAAATTTTTTTTTATTTAAGGTTAAACCAAGGAAAAACAAAGGCCAGAAAACAAAGTTTTCTATCCATTGTTTGAATTGTGTGTTGCCTGTACAATAAACAGTTTTTGTTTTTCTGTAGATACCGGCCATCTTGGCTCTGACCCCAGGAAGAGGACCTGAGTCTGGGGGCACAAAGGTTACCATCGTCGGGGAGAACTTGAACGCTGGCAGCACCGTTAATGTCTACTTTGGGAATCAAACCTGTGAGCTGTACAGGTGAACATAATGATATTTTGCATCCCCTGATGTTTTGGTAATATTTCTTTTTATTGGAGCCCAGATGAAGAGCCACTTTAGTGAGATTGTGTCTGCACACCATTAAAGAATTAGTCTTCGCTTGTTTTACTCAAACACAGGATGAAATCAATTTATTCCATAAATGTGCACATTAGCTTCAAGTGTGCGCTTGCATTTTAAATAAGGAATGAGTAATGTTTGGTCAGGAAGTGATGAAACTCGCATCACATATTTCTTTTTGTGTATTAATAGAAGTCTATTTAAAGCTAAAATTCGGCCCATTGTAGTTGTCAAGTAGGTCAGGCAAAAGAGTCATTAGCTAGAGTACCCTTTAATTACAGTTCCCATCTCTAATGTGTCTGTAAAGGCAGGAGACGGGGCAGGCTCTAATGAATCGTCTCCCGTCATGCGCGGCTCATAACTGTATGAAGTCAGGGATTTGCCTCTGCTGCAGTGAAAGGAAAGACACAATCGAAAGCATGAATAATTCTCTCTTTCGGTTCTCCCACCAGGAGGAGCATGTCAGAGATTGTGTGCTTTGCAGCTCCATCGCTGATGGGAGCAGGACCAGTGCAAGTCAGTCTGAGTGTCGACCGGGCCAAAGCTCCTGGAAGGCTGACCTTTGAGTACATAGAAGACCCCACAGTCCAGAGCATTGAACCCCTATGGAGCATTGCGAGGTACCTCAGTGGGAACAGATGCTTTCTGCATGTTTTACATCAACACTTAGTGCTAGCTTGTTTAATTAAACTTTTTTTCCCTTTCAAGTTTAACTAAGTGTAAGAAGTTATAGTAAGGAATTTATTGTGAGCTGTTTCTCTAATTATTGTTAATGCGCTGTATCAAGTAATCCATTAATCAATCAATTTTTATTTATCTTTAACGTCCTGTAATGTCTAACAACCATTTGCAGCAAAGAGCTTGTAAAAAATTTTTTATGAAATTGCATGCATTACCTTCCTAAATGCACGCAATGCATATATACATACATTTAGAAAGGAAAATAATATTATAGAATAGAAAATCCCTTTACTGTTCCAAAATGGGGAAATGCTGGTGTTTACATCAGTAAAAAAGATTATATAAAAAAAATGGTAACACCAAAGTGGACCTTAGAAAAGTGTATAAGAATAATACTGTGCACCTGGAGATTAAATAACCAATATACAGCTATGGAAATTTTTACAGTAATGGATATTTGAAAATAACAGCAACATCAGAGATGTGCAAAAATTATAGAAGCATGTTATTTAACTGACTAAGGTAGAAACTGCAAAATCAGCATTAATGTTGGGAACAGTGATGGTTATAAAGTCCTACAGCTGCTGGGAGGAAGGATCTGTGATAACGCTCCCTGGTGCATTTAGGGTGCAGCAGTCTGTCACTGAAGGAGCTTTGCAGTTCTGCAACAGTTTCATGCATGGTGTGGGAAAAATTATCAAACAGAATGTTAATTTAGTTAGGGTCTTTTTGTTTTCCACCTCCTGCACTATAAATAACTTATTGATAAAAAAGCCATAATTTATTCCAGAGTGAAGAGTAAACAATCTTTAAAAAATTTAAAAACTGAATGCAAATAGAAAAATATAAAGGATAAATAATAAAGATGTGCATACATTTTCAGTTGAAGAGACCTGAAAAATGTTACAGTAGAACATTTACCCAATACTGTTTTATATCTATAGAATGAAATCAAGTATAATCATCGAAAAGAAAAGAAAAATGCTTCTGTCTTTTGAACTGAAACTATTTCCCAGGTTTCCAGCCTAATTGCTGATGGCTCTGCAGTCCATACTTGTCCTGGAAAGTCACAAATAAATCTGCATTCTGAGAACAAACTGCATATTTATTAAATAGACGATAGGAATGAAACATCTTTAGGATAATTGGGCCCTGGTATTATTGATCCTTTTGTTGGCCAGAAGACTTTTAAAGTCGGAACTCAGTTTCCAGAAAGTTAGTGAAAAGATTCCAGCTGTTGATGGATCTGTCTCTTGTGCTAGATCCTGTCAATTCTTTGGCTACTGCATTTTAAATAATCTGAGATTTTTATCTGGGAACTCTTTATGTTCTCATAATAGGGGGATACAGAACTCAGGTTTAGGTTAAAATATCTCTGTACATCTGTTTTGTAATCCAGTTAATAGAATTTTAGTAGAATATTGATTGTGGCAGAAGAAAATCAATGCCATTTAATCTCTAAAGAAATATTTGAAAAGCATTGCATGAAAGAAAGTACAAGAAATAAAATGTACGATTAAAATATTGAATACTTCCTGATTCTCCATATCACAGCAACTTTGACTGCAGAAATAAAACAACTGAACATTAAAAATCTTCATGTTGGTAAATAAAAGCAATAAGTAGTTGTTTATTTGGAACATGTATCTGTTGTGCTATATTTTCCTTGCACTATTATACTTGTATCTTGCTGAGATGCAATTTTTCTTCAAGGTAGAAAAAAAACTTGCAGTGGTATATTTTATTGACATGTATAGCTACAGTTTTCTTGGAGAAGCTGAAGGAGTCTCTTGATGGGCCTTTTCAGTAACTAGTCTGACCAGAGAGACGAACTTCAGTGCGGTCTAAAACCTAGCAGACCAATCACAGCGCGGGAGGCGGGCCCATAATGCAACAGTGACATTATAGTCAAAATTACATCTGCAGTGAAGCAATGTTTTATCAAGGCCCTTTATTAATCCCAAAAGAATTCTTTATTGTTAAAAAGTCAACAACTGACTATATTTTTACCTCACATCTGTAATTATCTGATTAATTCCAAACTGTTTCCTCTTACTCTGTTAGTAGCACCTTTGAAATTGGTTTCTACCCGCTTCTGTATAGACTAATACGCTGTTTGAATAGCGTGCATTTTTCTGGCTGGCCAAGCTAGTATCTAACAGCCATCAAGAAGTCATAAAGTCAAAACTGTCCTCTAAACGTTGATGCATATTTTATTGCAGATTAGCTCAGCTTTTAAAAAGTATAAAGCCCTCAAGGATATGATCTCAAAAAAATGTAAACCTTCATAATACTATCAACAATACTAATATAGTAAGAAGTCTTTAAATATACGTGTGATAGCAATCTAAATGGCTTCGAAATTACTCTGAAATAAGTACTAGTACGGTAGGTTACTTAAAATAAAGGTCACACAGAGCTGTTGTCAAAAGTATTGTAGATGATAAAAAAGTTGGACATTGACATAGGATAGACAAATAATGTCTATGTGAAGAGAAGACACAACCGATAGTTAAAACAAACCGATAAATCATCTGGAAAAATGCTTCTAACACAGGTGAGGATCATATTACCTGTGTGGCACCAACAGTTAAATGGACGTAATTTGTGTCTGGGTGAAATTAGCACCAGAACCCTGCAGATTAGGCCTTAGAGTGTCACTGTGGCCCGCAGCCTGGTGACAGGAAGGGCTTTGTGGAGCTGCAATCAAGAGCCCTCATCATAAATGTGCATTCCCACTATGAGGCCCTACAAGCTTAGATAGCCTTTGAAGTGTGAGAGCAGAAGGGCTGGTGCTCTGTTAGTTGCACTATGCTGGACAGTTTTATTTTTTTCCATGCTTTTATCTCTCCTTTCTCCTTGTGTATTCCTTAGCTTTAAACATTTTTTTTAAGTTTGCAGTTCAGCATGTGTTGTGATTAGAGTGGTTCTTATGATTTGAATCAATCTAGAAAGATATGTAAACAAGTAGCACCTGAATTTATGCCATGCCAGCCTCAGTCTCACGGCTGAATATAAAACAGCAGCCAGCTGGTTCTCTTTTGATCTTTCTCTTTTGGCCAATAACAAAGGGCGAGCTACCATTTATGCCTCCTCAAACATGCATTAATGCAAATTCTCCAGGAGTTGTTGATGGAAAAAATAACTGGTCTCTCTGTGGTTGCCGGCCTAATTAAATCAAAGAGGAAAAAGCAGCTTGTGTTCAGACTACCTGGAATTTTTTAGTATGGATACATATTTAGGGAATAATTCCTCTAACACACTGCACTATGCAAAAACCTTACCGACTTTTATTTTTTATGCATTGCCTCTAAGAAAGCTTGTCTTTTTTTTTTTGTTTCTAAGTAGGTCCTCAGGTAAAATATTTTTTTTCCTGCCTAAAATTAAAAAAGGGTAATAACTGAACCGTTTTTGTAATGAAAATGGCATGAACCATTTTTGCTCCCCTTAGAACGACCACAAAAAACAGTTGTCTACCTAAAAATGTAAAATACTTAAAATTAAAAGTATTTATTAGAAATAGGATATAAAATATGATATGAAGTTTGTACTTATGTGACGCTGGTTCATGCCAGGAAACTGCAAAGCGCTTTACACTGCATTCAGTCATTCACACTGATATTCACACACTGATGGTGGTATGCTACGGTGTAGCCACTGCTGCCCTGGGGCGTACTGACAGAAGTGAGACTGCTGTACACAGGTGTCACCTGGCCCTCTGACCACCATCAGAAAGTATTGTGAATGAAGCATCTTGCACAAGGACGCAATGACTGAGGGAGACAGAGCTGGGATTAAAACCAGCAACCCTCTAGTTGTAGAATGAACTCCTTCATTCTACACCACTGTGTTGTAGAAGAATAAACAAGAAAAATGTAATAAAAAATAGAAACATCTGCTATTTCCATTTTATCTATCCTCTGTTTGCCAAATATTCTTCAAAAGCTTCTTTGTGAATTATCTTAATGGTGCAAAAGCTCTGTTTTATGTCTTTTAAACTGCCTTAACAGGTCATTTTTGCTAATGCTTATTAAGAAATTGGAACATTTTGTGTCGTCAAATCAAACAGCTGGTTACAAAGTGCCTGCTTTTCACTTTTAACGGGTTCTTGTGTATTTTGTAAGCATTGGATCATCTCTCTTTGGTTGATTTTTGCTTTGAAGGATTCATAGTTCTACGTTTAGTTGTATGACCAAATAAAAAAAAAAAAAAAGCACACTGAAATTGCTAAGGTTCGAGGACGGGACTGAAATGTAATGAAAAATTCAAAAGTGTTCAAAGTAAAAGTGTGTAAAAGACTTTCAAGAAGCTTGGACAGCAACAGCAAAGGAGCACTTTTAGAAAAAGTTACAAGAATGTCATAATCCTTTGAAGCAACACTTGAAGAAACCAGGAGCAGCGTGTTTATCTTGTAGTATGCTTTAACAGCATTTCTTTCATCCAAACAGCGGACACACCACCCTGACAATAACTGGGACAAACCTGGATGTGGTTCAGGAACCTCGGGTTCGAGTCAAATATGCTGGCCATGAATCTGTCAATGTGAGTAAGACAACTTCTAATGTTCAGCATGAGTACTTACAAAAATAATAGGTAGATCTGCACAATATTTTCACATCTCAATACGTTTCCTTTGGATCTTATAGACAAGGTATATCATATTTACCAAGGTCCAAATGTGGCTTATAAGCACATTCATGCTACCAAGGTGTCTGTGTCTAGCTGCCTAGCAGATTTATACCTTTAGACTGAAAACTGTAAACATTCGTCTAAAATAGCTGCATCCCGATTATACTGAATCTGTAAACAGCAGCTATGGACAGACACTATAAAGGATGGTTTAGGAAAGGTGCTGGGCTTTTCCAACACAGGAATTTTATTTAATCGAAGACCTTAAATTTGAACCTATTAAATGTTTTGTTTGCATAATAGCCCTGTTAATCCTAGAGTTTTTATGTAGGTCACATCTAGACAGGGTATGTTATTTTAAACTATTTCTATTTTTTAATATATGGAAATAATGAGTAGAAAAAAACTGTTTGGGAAATTTCTTCAACCTGAGCTGTAGATCTCTGCTGCTCCTCCAGAGATGCCCTCTCTGTTGCCAACATAGTCACGTTTTCACAGTGTTCAGAAAGATTTTAAACACCTGTAGCGAGTGACTAGCGATATCTGCTTTGCTAAATACAATTGAACTCTGTCGTATAGGTGATTTTAATGTATGTGAATATTTTTTAAGGCACTGAAGTTTGTAATAGTAAATTATTTTAAAAGATCCTTTGTTGCTCTGGATAAATACATGTCAAGCTGAAAGTAAAAGGAGGATCAAAACTAACAAAAACAGCTACAAAAAAAAAAGGGAATTCAGAGCTGCTCGCTTAGATTACACTTTTAAGAACTTACATGGAAAACTCAACTTTTTGGGAGATGATTTATGGCGTTTAGATTGCTTGCCTTAGCTCTCAAAGTGATTGATTGACTGTTTTAAGCCATTGCAGCTCTGGCAGAATTTCCGGCACCCTCAGCCTGTAGTTTCTGACCACTCTAGGGATTTGCCAGAGCAGTCTAAAGGCTCGAAGCTCAAAAATCAATACAAGAACAAGTACCTGATGAGACTGCCAGAAAAACAACGAAGGAAGTATTTTTCTTTTAGCAGTTTCAAAATAGAGAATGTAAGAGCTGGCAGTAATATGTGAGTGAAAAAAGATTTGTTTTTGTTTGGCCGGTATGCAGAAAATGTTGTGTGTTAGAGATATGCCCTAAGCTAATTAAATGGTGTGTGTCTGATGCCAGCCCAGAATTTGAGCCAATCAATTAAAATTGCATGTTCTGCAGTGTCACTGGCAAGACGGAGATATATAGGGATTAAAGCTGAACTTTTAACCGAATAAGCTGTAAAACTGCCACCGGGTTTTTTTTATTGTTGTTGTATTTTTTTTTTATTTTTTTTTTTTGTCAGTTGTTCTTAATGGCATACATCTTGAACACATAACTTTTCTTCTCTTAGCTTTGAAATGTGTTGAGTAAATGGTGAATACTCTTTACTGACTTTGAGTAGATTGTCCAATGAAATCTAACAAACTGCAAATGCAACTTTCTTGATTTAAAAGTTAAATAAAGGAGCAAACAGGAAAAACATTAGGTACATTTTTGACAGTTTGTAACTGAATGTCATTTAAATGAGCAATTCATGAAAAATGCTTTCTTTCTGGGGTAAATATTAAATTTTTTTGTTATTATAAAGTTATTATTTAAAAAATAGTAACATATTTTTGTTTGTATTCACACTGGGGCATACGTTCAAGGAATTAAATCCCATTCCAATATTATTAAATACTGAAAAGTAGCTTTGCGTGCCACATTTTCTGTCCTTTTCTCTTATTTTTTTATAATTATGGCACGACTGTTCTCGTTGTGTTTTAGGTAGTGGGCATAAAGGAGACCAAATCCCAAGCCAACAGCCCATATATGTTACTAACATAAAAACCTTGAATGCATGCCACTTGAAATCCAATAGCCTACTGAAACTGGTTCAAAGCATTCTTGAAATGAAATGAAATGGGGATGTTGCACAGAGTGATGATGATGATGAATACGAATGAGTTGTGCACAGTGTGCTGTAGTTAAGCTGATCAAATTATTAATAATGTTCATAACTGAGCCATCTGACAGTCTGTCAAAGTAAATCAATCTCACAATATATCTACTGAGTCTGCAGTACAGTATGAATGTATTACCATTCCAGTGGTGATCTCTGATAAGAATTAAAGAAGCAAATATATCTTTATGAATGAATGGATAGATATTTAATTTAATCAGGATGATAAACACTTGGATTGAGATGATGCAAAGAATCAATAGATGCACATTTTAGAGACCATCAGTTGAATTGATCAGCACAAAGCCCCAATCCCAGAAAGTAGCAGGCAAAAATCTATACATAAAAAAAAGAGAAACTACGTTTAACATAGCTGATCAAAATCATATAGATTTTATAGAGTTTATGGAACTTTTGGAAATTTGTAGGAATTATTTTAGGCCCTATAGACATAATGCGAGCTCTGAGAAGATTGTCCTGCCCAACCGCAACTAACAGCTGTAATGTAGGAGACAGTGAAGCTTACGGTGTTACAGGAGGGATTTTTATTTATCAGCCAATCAAGCAAAGATGACGCGGAAAAAAACAAAACAAAACAAAATAGAAACACTCCTAACAAGTTATACATCAGGTCAGTGTTGATATTTCGAAGCAACCAGGCAAATCCATGTCTTCACTGATGGAGAAAGAGAATGAATTGCACAAAGCAACTGGACACTGATTTTAAAAAATGCCTTAAATTATGGAAATGCAATTTAAGGTAATAACTTAAATTACACGATATATTATAGGCTTTCAGTAAAATCAGTATAATTTTAACTGATCACAGTAATCCTGAACCAAACTTATGCAACCAGAAGTTACAACATATATTTTCATATTATATGAAAACTAAAAAGGTCTGTGTGGTCCCACAGACCTGGTTCATGTATTGGGTTTCTTAAAACAATTTTTTTTTATGTTATTGGGATAGAATATTCCACACTAAACATTTGGGGTAACACATATCACACATGATATGTAACACATAGCCCTTATTTTCAATTATTCTTAATGATATACCTATGACTACAATGAGTTTGTTATTACATCTGTAATGTTAGGCAACAGAAAAAGAGGTTCAGTTCTTGCAGGTCAGGAGCATTTCAATGGGACAAATTGCAATCACACATTGGTCAGTTACTGACCAGCCACCCCCTAGGAATTATTGAAAGGTTGCATTATATTCACTATCATTTCAACCCTGACTTTACATAAAAGGGCAGTTTGGGGGCATTACTTATTTTAGTCACCTTTTGTCCAGTACCAGAAGGGATTGAACAACCCTGTATAGGTCTGATTAAGGAGACTTCCTTTTATTTTAGCAGCACCTTGGCTGGCAGGTAGTCCCATCCCATCCCTCTCTTCTTGGCAGACAGAGAATCACACTTTTTGAATCCAGCAGAGCATGAACCCAAAGATGTGAAGGTGCTGTTACCATTGGCACAAGTATTAAACCAGTTACTTTTGGTGTGCAGAAAAATATTTCTACCTTAACTTTACCAGGTAACCAAAACGTTTTGAGTTTTAACCATTTTTCAGATTGTATAAACTCAGATCCACATTAATTGACATGATCATTTCCAATGATTATAGATAAAATGGATCAGGGTTTAATTTATATTGAATTATAAAACCAGCAACAACTTTTAATACATTTTTACCAGGCACTACAACTGTTTTCCTGAGCATAGCAAGCCCTAAAGCATTATACTAATCATGTTTTTTGACCTCGGGATCCTGTCAGCGTGGATAGGAAGGTGCTTAAATATGTCCAGCGATGACATTTTGAAACGACCTGAGGCAGACCAGCTAAAATAGATGAAAGGTCATTTCAGAGGTTTCTGTGCTTGTTACACCACCAAACACGAGAGTGAACATTTTCCATGAAAACATACTTACAAGATCAGGTTGTGTGTTATCTTCTATTGGGATTAAGTGGGAAATCTATTTTTATTTCTCTGCAGGTGTGTAAAGTTTTGAACACAACAACCATCAGCTGCTTTGCCCCTTCTCTGAAGGCGGATTACCATGCCGACCAGGAAACCATAAAACACGTGGATGAGTTTGGCTTTGTCTTCAATAACGTTCAGGCTCTGCTCACCTACAACAGCACAGGCTTTGTCTACTACCCCAACCCGTACCTGGAGCCGTTAAGCCTCTCAGGTGTTCTGGAGCAGAAACCTGGAGCTCCCATCATTCTCAAAGTAAGCGAGAGGAGTCCTCCCTTTACATGATCACAGAATTACAGGGCTTAGTTTTCAATGTCAACTCAATATAAATGTGCCAAAGCATTAAGTTTTTGAAAAGCTATAATGTTGAACATCTAAATGAGGGTATTTAATTGAGCTCCTGACTGCTTGTATCACCATTGTTGCTAAAAAAATATATATATCTAATGTAGTAGCAAAAGTTCTTATCCAAAAATACACACCAATCTTTAATTTTTCAGGGATTTTCCTCCCGATTTGCTTTTGTTACTCTTTGAGCCACTGCTAGATATGTTTAGAGTTGTCTGACTTGCAGGAATAGCATAAGATATGAGCCTGAGTCTTAAAGGAAATTGGAAATTGGCACATTTTGACTCCGTGTCAAAGTGCAATTTACTACATGAACCCACTGCTAGTTTTCCTTCCAGATGACTTCAGTAATTTTTATAATGCTTTAAAATTGTATTTGATGGTTTGGTGAAAGTTGGACATTAAAAGCTTATTGGAAATGAATATAATTGCAGGTGTTGTGGCTCAGCTACATATTAAATTATAATCAGTAAATCTACTTGGATTTAAATAGGCTTGCTGATAGATTTCCAGCAAAAGTAGTTCTTAAGACACAAAATGCATTAAAGGATAGAGATTTAGTGTTGTTGACTGGTTCTCTTAACTCCTTTACAGGGTCGTAACTTGGTGCCATCTGCCTCTGGTGGAGCCAGACTGAATTACACTGTGCTGATCGGAGATACTCCCTGTTCTCTCACTGTGTCAGACACTCAGTTGCTCTGCGAGCCACCAAACCTCACCGGGCAGCATAAAGTCCTAGTGAGTTTTAATGTCAACCTTACCCTTATGTTATAATGTTTTTTTCTTTTTGTCCTTTTTTCTGCATCAATGTGAGTAGCTCTCTGTAGGTCAGTGGTCTTCTTTACGTCATGGTGTTTTTGGGTCAACGGCTGGCTCTCAGTTAGTCTCTAGCTTTCTGTCATTGTCTGTCCCTCATGGTCTGGTAGGTTCCCCATTACGACGCATTGTCGTCTGGAATTATTGACAAATGAGCAAATAATGACAATAGAGCTGAATAGAGAAGAGTAAGCTGATGCTCCTTTTAAAAAAGGACAAAAGTAAACTTGATGAGGTCTTTTAATTCCTCAACACAACTTTTCATTATGCGGGTGTACTACAGCACACTCCTGCTGTTTTAGACACAAAGTCATAAATGTTAGGAATGTTTTTTCTTGTTACTGCAAATGAAAGGCAAAAATTTAGATTTACACATTATGTGTTCATTTCCCCCCCCAAAAAGTTTAAAATCCAGAGATTGTTGATGTTTTCTGCACCTTTTGTATGAATTAGTGAATCAGTACTGTGTGCTGTGTGAGCAGTACTGGCTCTGCTGAGTGCTCTTCAACTCATCTGCAGTTTAGAGTTTTGTGTCACCTCTTCCTTTTTGCAATACTTAATGCCAGGGGTCTTTAAATCCAGTGGTCAAGGTCAGGGTTGTCCTGGAACTAGATGTTTCCCTGACCCAACACACCTAAACAAACAGCTAATTACCTCCTCAGAACACAGTGAAGCTCTCAAGACAAAGCAAATGACCTGATTATTTGATTTGTGCTGCAGGCAAGACAAATTGAAAATATACCAGTAAGTTACATTCACGTTACAGAACCTGGAGGACTGGAACTGAGGGGCCCGGCTCAATAGATTCTCTGTGGGGTTTAGGTCAGCTGAGTTCAGGGTTCTCACCAGTCTGACGCTGTACTTGGCCCTTTACAGCCACAGGAGGCAGCTTTCCAACTCTGTAGGAATGATGCTGTGGTCCATCGGCAGATTCAGCTTCAACTAAATCTATTCCACCCCTGCCTTCTAACGTTGCACTCTTACCTTCTTAGAGGTGCTGTTAGATATAATCTGCTGGACAGATGACAACTCACCAGTTATGCCCATGATTGTGTGGACCACAACATATTGTTCCTTTTTTCAAAACCCTTTTAATTGGAAAAATGTTGAGTTACTTTACTCTGTAGTTAAGGATTCTTTTAAAGGGGTAGTATGTAGGAATCACTGCCATCTAGTGGTGAAATGATTTCACTCCAATGAACACTGAAACCACTGCTTCAAACCCAGAATGTGGCAAGGGTAGCCTCCATGTCTCAAAGCGTCTCAACAATGCTGATTTAACAATGTCACCCGAAGTGAAGTGAAATCTCTACAATCTGGCATTTAATAGAACAAAAAGGCTTTGAAAGCTAATAAAAGCATTTAAACCTACAATTCTGTACCAACATGATTGGTATACATTTGTGGGATCTACTGTTATGCTTAATATGGTAACGAGAAACACTGACAAAATAAACTGAGAGGAAAACTTTAACTTAACTTACATGTGAACTGTAGGAGAAACTTAGTAACTTTGGCGTCCATTTTTAAAATCTTTCTCCTTCATTAGCTCCTTCCACCTGGAGGAGGCTTGCTCGGCATTTATCAGCATTTTTTTTTCATAATTTCTCTGGTTTTGTCATCTTTTAAGCTCATCATCACTTCTTGGGGATGGTGAAACCATTTCTTCTGCTGCTGCTGCATATGCATGGTCCTGCATTGTGCTGCAGTAGTGCAGACTCTTAGTTGTTGAGTTAGTCTCACCAGATGATCTTCACCGCCACTTCTCTACCCCATTGGACTGCCAGCAAAAGGGCAACAAGTTTTTGTTTTCCTTGTTCATATTTTATCCCTTACCGGCATCTGTACGTTCAACATGGCAGACTGTCATAGCGCTTCACAAACAGGCAACCAGCCTTATGCATAAACTAATATCAATTTTTTCTCTTATGATTCTTCTCTCTGATTATTAGTCAATCATCGAATTCAGGCAGTTAAAAAAGAGAAATTGTTACACTTTATCCCTCTAGATTTAGAGAAATATATATTTTATTAATATTCGTATGGAGGTGCAATTGGTTTGTCAATTAAAAAAAACATTATTTTTTCTTTCTCTTCTCTTAACAGGTGCAAGTAGGTGGATTGCACATCTCTCCTGGAGAGGTGCACATCCGATCAGACAGCTTGCTCACCATGCCCGCTATTCTAAGCATCGCAGCTGGTGGAGGGTTGCTCCTCGTCATTGTCGTCATCGTCCTGCTCGCCTACAGACGAAAGTCGCATGAGAATGACCTCACTCTGAAGCGCCTGCAGATGCAAATGGACAATCTGGAATCAAGAGTAGCTCTTGAGTGTAAAGAGGGTGAGTGATGTTTGAGATCCAACACTTATTTCAAAAAGAAGATGATTCACCACTTTTCCAACAAGTAGCAGAATATAAAAGAATACACAGACTAACCCCGAAAACCTTTTTTTTTTATTGTACTAGAAAATTCTTTTAAATTTTTTTTTTATCATTTAACATAGAAAGCAATATCAAAGTTGGGAATATACTTATTTGGAGAGTACAAGTCATACTACAGGTGTTTATACATGGGTGGAGCTCTAAGGTAAAGCAATCATCAGGGATGGCTCTTATGAAATGTACATAATTACAATTAGGCAGTTCTCAGGTACTACTCCTTCATTTAAAAGTTGGACAGAAATTGGCTGACTGTTTAACAAATTTGTCTTTTGTGCAGCGTTTGCTGAGCTGCAGACGGACATCAATGAGCTAACCAGTGATCTTGATAGAGCTGGCATCCCCTTCCTGGACTATCGCACTTATGCAATGAGGGTTCTCTTCCCAGGGATCGATGATCATCCTGTGCTGAGGGAGCTGGAGGTGAGGAGCCTCTGCTGCAGCTCCTGCTGCACTTACAGTACAGTTTAAATATGCTGATCTTAAGCCTTAAATTCCTGCAAAAATGTTTACAATTTAATATAATTTTAATCTGTTCCCTCTAAATAGGCTGAGCAACTTATGATGGCATGTTAGATGTTTTCTGCCACCCTGCACCTCTGCTGTTTGTTAGAAAATGCTTTTTAAAAAATCCTTTTCTGTTGTCTACATCTTAGGGGTTTAATTTTGAAGTATTTGAGATTCATTTTTGAATAAACCATGATGAAAATTAATGCAGCCTTTTTGCAGAAAAGTTGCACAAGGTCAAAACTAGTTAGTTGAGTTTCTTTAATCAGCCCTTATTATGCTCACACTTACATGTAGTCTTAAGGAGCTCACTGATTGCACCTCATTTTGTTTAAGGCAAACGCCCTTAATTAGGGTAAAAATTACAATTTGTACTTGTACATTTTGAAACAAAGATATGAATAGACTGCTTCCTTTATTTTTTACTTTAAGCAAAGCACAGATCAGTCCTTCTTGTTTGGACTTTCCTGTTTAAGGTGGTGTGGGAAATCTGTCATGCCTGTTTCATTCTGTTTTTATTGTTTTCTGACTCACCCTTCAGCATGCGCTATCTGATGTGTGTATGACTCTTTGTGTGTGCAACTATGCATGATACATGCAGGTTCCTGGGACTGGACAGGCCAGCGTGGAGAAAGCCTTGAAGCAGTTTGCTCAGCTGGTGAATAACAAAGTATTCCTGCTGACTTTCATCCGCACACTGGAGACGCAGCGTTCCTTCTCCATGCGTGACCGGGGCTACGTAGCTTCGCTCATCATGACTGCCTTGCAAGGACGATTGGAGTATGCAACAGACATCCTTAAGCACCTGCTCTCTGACCTTATAGAACGCAACCTTGAGAGCAAGAACCACCCCAAACTGCTCCTCAGGAGGTATCCTTCAAATTCCATAAAAGCTGGCTTATATCAAGATGCTTTTCACCTTTGAGAAAGTTTACATATCAGTCCATCTTAGAACTTATCAACCCAATCTAAAAAATAAATACTCATATTCCCAGAGCAATCCTTTCTAAAATGATATTGGAGGAGTGTGTATATTCCTTGTAACATACTTTTTAATGTACTTAAGAAAATCTGATAATTGAACTAATAACTGTTCATTTATTTATAAACAAAATAAAAACATTAAACAACCATCTTACATTAAACAACACTATTTTAAGCTATTGAAGATGATTAAATAACCAGGCGACAAGGACTCAAAGTGCAAATAATTAACTGATTTAAGTTTAAGAATTACCTAAAACGCATTTATTTCTCAGAAGCTACACAGAAAGGATCATGCATGGCATAATTCAGATTTCTGGTACCTCATCCTAATAAGTAAAATGGAAATCCATTAACTTCCTCAGCACTAGATGGTAGCCTCGGCAGAACAAAGCATGGATCAGAAGACAGGTGTTTGATTAAGGCAGAAAGGCAGGTGAAGCTAGAGATTCGAAGATCTCTATTAAGCTCTACAAATGACAATGTTCTATCACTTTGGTCTTATAAGGGATATTGTTACTCATATTATTTTCATTCATTTGCTTTTAACTCCAGGTAATAAATAATATTAATAATAATAATCATAATAATAATAATACATTTAATTTATACTGCATTTTCCATCAAAACATCTCAAAGTGCTACAGGTAAAAAGAGAGCAGGAAAAAAAGCAGGAAAAACATCTAATGGGGACAAAAAGATTTGCTAAAAATAAACACTCTGCGTTCTGTGGGTTGATAATTTTTTTATTTTGGGGGGGGGGGGTCGGCATGCCATAGATGCACTAATGTGTGAGGACGGAAACCTTGTATGCAACACTGGTCAAGATGGAAAGCGAGTGTGATGAGTGGAAAATGGGGGTAATGT